AGTGACCTTTATTGAAGATATGTAAGATAACAAAGTGTGAACAAAATTGCCTCTGTCTCTTTAAAAAAATAAATGACTGGTGACATCAAAGACTTTCCACCACCATAAGTTTTGTTCATGAGTGTATCTCATCAGTCCTGCCATCTCTGATATGGAGATTGGCCATGAATGGACCATCATTCCACACTCTGACACCAGTCAAAGCAACTTTCTACAATGGGACAAATACTCTCTGTGCCCTTGGAACCAATACAGCTGAACCTCACCACAACAACATCGCTGGGAAACGAGCTTTTATGTTGTTATAGCCATGTTGTTGTTAAATAACCGTAGTTGAAACAAAGGAAACTTAAAACTTGGTGTCTTAGAATTATGATGTTATAACCGTGTTGCTGCTATATTGAGGTTTCATTGTGAAGTAATAGAATAACCTATTTCAACACCAACTTTAATTCAAACAAAAATTCTAATCCCTTGAGGTGTTGTATTAAAGAAATTAGATTGTATATTTACCATCATGGACAAATCTTAAGGAAGTGGAAAGTCTTTGATATCGCCAGTCATTTATTTTTTTAATGAGACAGAAGCAATTTTGTTCATACTTAATTATCTTGTGCGTCTTCAATAAAGGTCACTGTGTATCAAATAACTTTCAGAGTTATTGTCTGAATCCTGATATACATACTAAGAGGTACACCTTCCTTAAATTTTGTCCATGAGTGTATTTACATATATGATTTTAATCTCTTTGCCCTCCAAATTATATACAGTAGAACCTCCATAAGAGAATACCCATGCTAGAGGACACCTTTCTATAAAGGGCAGTTTTCATTTACAAAATTACAATTTTTTACAATTTAGCAACTCTCCGGTAAGAGGACACCTCTCTCTAAAGGACACTTTGGCTTTGCAATTAGGTGTCCTTTACAGGGAGGTTCTACTGATTATATTTTCCTTTAATGCCAGTCACTAGAGTAGAGTGGAACATTGTAGACTTCAAGTCAGGCAGAGAGAGAGAAGAGTTCACCTGAGATGAGGGAGTCAAGCGGCACCTCACTGAATCCATGTTCCACAGCCCACTGTCTAGCCCCAGGCCCTGCCAGAAAACTGAGTCATGGTTAAGACATGGTCGTGCAGCCATGGTTCTACTTACCATGGGGGAACTAAGTTGCCTGGAAGAAGGCCTTGGTTCTGGTGGTCAACCAGTGCTTTGGCTAGTTTGATGGGGTTTTGGATACCTGGAACAACATTGATGTCTTGTAGTTTTGCTGTGATATGTTAGTTAATAAGGTTCCAGACTATTTATAACAACCTCTCACTTGGGGATCAAGATTTTATGTGGAGGGACCTTAGAATTATGATGTTATAACCAAGTTGCTATTATAACGAGGTTCTTCACTACAAGGTAATAAGACCAAATCCAAATAAATTAATAGTGAGTTTCAAAAACAGCATTTTTACCATAATCAGGCAAAAGACTAAATTCCTTAAACTGTTGGGGCAGTTTAAATGAGGTTTTATACTAAATGTTACTGGACTGGTATTATCTACTTAGTTCCAAAAGAGATTCGTCCATCCATATCTTGATGTTATCAATCCAATTCATTCTTGACCTTCCTAAATCTACTGTATCAAATAATTGTCTACCTCACAAACCAAGAGATGTCTTTGAGACAAACTTCGCTTAAAAGATTTCCACCTTTGAAAATGGCGACAGTGAGGAGGTCGCTGAAATATCAGACAATAGAACGTTTTGAGGGCTGATGAGCTCGCATTTTAAATTGAATTGGAAACGTAAATCTCCCCCTTCCATACTTAACCCTTAGTTTAATTCTGCCCGTAGAAGAGCGAGAACTCAAAAGCTTGTGGTTTTGTTAGTAAAAACAAATTTATTGCTAAAGGTTTGTTTCAATCTCATTTGTATATGTACACTCATGGACAAAACTTAAGGAAGTTGTACCTTTTAGCATGTATATCGGGATTCATAACTCTGAAATATATTTGATACACAGTGACCTTTATTGAAGTCACATAAGATAACTAAGTAAACAAAATTGTTTCTGTTTCCTTAAAAAAATAGATGATTGTTTACATCAAAGACTTCTTCAAGTTTTGTCCATGAGTGTATATTATTATCAGAATGCCTAGCATACTCTTACCCAACTCGGTATTCTGAGGATGGTAACATGGTTACAGAAACTGTTGTCTTTGTTACCCATATTGAATACAATATTAGGGGGTCGGTGGAAGGATGGTCTAAACCGTTGGTTTTCGACCGCTATGACTCGAGTTTGATTCCCGCATTGGGCACTTTTTTCTGATAAAAAAAAAATGCTCCAATGACCCCCGATTCTTGCAAAAGACCAACCCTACCAGCGAGTGCAAGTAACCAAAACGGGGCTCTGGCACATTTGTAAGTTCAAAGTCAAACTGCTTTTCACATGTGTAGACATATGGTGCACTTGCAGTAAAAAGCAGTCACCAACTTCTACCCATCATGATTATCATGGCCTGTACCATGTGTACTAGGAATAAGCAGAAAAAAATATATATATATTACCACAATAAGTCTAGTTAACCCGAATGAGACTGAAATTTTGATTCAACATAGATTCACTATAAACATTTTTCCCTGATTTATACTATTATTATAAAATAAATAAAGCTTCCAGGGCTAAGTTTCTTGTTCAACTTTTTATCATCAATTTATTATTGTGATACTCCTGTAGAAGGACTGACAAGTCCGAAATCTTGTAAATAAAAAGTTGAACAAGAAACTTAACCCTGGAAGCTTTATTTATTTTATAATAGATTCACTATATTATAAATTTATTTAAATGGGAATTATGGGGGGGGAGGAAGTCCAACCACACCAGTCCCCCCTGGACCCTTGGAATATTTGACCAAATTCTGGTTCAAGGTGACTAACGTGACAACAGCACCCATTTTCCAATGAAGAGCAAAACCGATGGGGATTATGTTTGTTATATAAGGGAAGATTTGCTATATCCCTGATTCATTTTAGTTAGGTTTTACTTCTTCTTCTTCTTCTTTCTTATCTCCATACTGGTTGAAGTAGAATGCGTCTGCCTTTGTCATTAAGACTGGGAGCACTACTCAGTGGCAGGCCGACTTAGCTCCAAAAGAAATGGCCGCCTCTGACATGAGGAACAGACGCCATGTGAAGCTGCTCCTAACATGGAGTACAAATGCTGCTAATCCTGTATTCTTGGATTAGGAGCTCTTACAGGGTACTATCAGCCGGGCCAGCTGAGCCCAGGTTTTTTAGTGAGCTTGTTACTGCTCCCCCTCCTCCTTTTTCATCAGGGCTTGGGACCGGCAATGGCGAAGTTAGTTTTACTGAATCTATGTAGGAAGAATGTAGATAACAGTAGATAGACATCAATAATCAAACTAATTGTATTTGGGGCACATTATGCAAGAAGTTGCTTGAGAATATTGATGATTGAGGATAGTCAGAGAAGAGGATAACCAAGAACTAGATGTTTTAGACAAAAGAACCCCAATACCTAAAGTAGATGGTGTGAAGTATAAAGAAGGGAGTTCATTAGACTACCAAAGTCATTTCCAAATTGATACAGTAGAGTCCTCCATGAGAAACAATGTCTCAGTATCTCCTTGAGGTGAACTCTCAACAGAGACTGTTCTCATTGAAAAACTTCTCATGAGTGACCTGACATGAATTAGAGAGTCCCTGTGACCAGGTATAGCCATGTTTTTGAACAGTCTCTTATAGGAGATCTGTATCTGATAAGGTACAAAATTTGGATTATCAATTAGAAACAAAATGTTATAAGATAATAAAGAGGTTTTTTTTCCACTTCTTATTATAGGAATAGTATATTTTAGGGTTCTTAGAAATCAAATTTATTCTAATCTGCTATATTTTTTTACATACTTGATTTAACTCTGCTTTGCCGGTCCCAAGCCTGGATGAAAAAGGAGGAGGGGGAGCAGTAACATGTTAGGAGCGGCTGCACATGGCGTCTGTTCCTCATGTCAGAGGCGGCCATTTCTATTGGAGCTAAGTCGACCTGCCACTGAGTAGTGCTCCCAGTCTTAATGACAAAGGCAGATGCATTCTACTTCACCCAGTCATGATGGTTTCAAGATTTACAAGCTTGATATCCTAATATGTTTGAGTGGAGAAAAGAAAGAAGAAGAAGACATACTTGATAACAGTAATAGCTATTAAAGAACATGCTGTGATATTTTTCCTCATTCAGTACTTTTGTCTGATGATGGTAACAACACTGTTACTGAGACGTTTCATACTATTAATTTGGATTTAATCTTATTAACATTTTGAGATCTTAAAACAACAAAGGTAGGAAGGTAGGTACCGGAGAGTGCTGCCACTGCTCCAAACTGGGGGGGATGGGTCTCCATGATGCTGGCATCACATTCCACAGCACCTTCCTTGTTCAGGTTGGAGCCTACGCCCGCATTGGTCAAACAGCTGTTCTGGAACATACACAGCTCACTCAACACAGTGCTCAACACACAACCCGTAGATATACTGGGAACAGCTCACTGCTCCATAGTTCAAAGATAATTCTACAACCCGTAGAACTACTGTGATACATCCTTATTGAAAGAAACAATAATTTATTTGTCCTGCATACACCATTACCTTTATACGAACTCTACACACCAAGGTTTATTGAAAGAAAATAGCACAAAAGTGAATTTGTACTGGGATCAGAATTTTCAAAACATTTTTATTACAATTTTTCATTGTAAATATATTTAATTTATTTTATAATTTTCATATTAACACATAGATTTGGTTAAGAAAGGGCAAGACTCCTAATTAAAATTTGAACAAATGTTTTTTTTTTTAATAATTATTTCAAAATTATTTAATAGTATTAAATTAGGATTATATAGATGAGAAATATTCACAGAATAACAAGATGAGTTTGAAGATGAGAACAAAAAAATTGTTACTGAAATGTTACCCATTCTTATTTGGAAGTCTCCCAGTAGCGCAGTAGATAGCATGTTGAATTTCTAATCCAAAGGTTCCAGGTTCGAGTCCCAGCTAGGATGAGAATATTTTTTCCAAAGTAGTTGGCGTTCTGCAGTCCCGGAACCTGGTTTATAAATATCTCTCTGTTTATCATTAGGTTTGTTATCCTTCGATAAGCATCTCTCAGAAAAGACAATAATGAGAGAACACTGTGATTAAAAGAGAAAACTGATGTGGAGCCAACAATTCAGGGACCACTCACCTCCAGAAGTGCTAGGACATGGACCAAGACATCAGCTGCTGGTATTCCTTCCTTAAGTAACTCTTTCCCCTGAAACATACGGGTTCTTCATTTCTTCATCATCATGTATGTGTGTGAACATTTCAAAAATCTTTATTCAGACATTAACTACATAGCATTATTTACATAGTAGTATTTACATAAGAAAATATCACAATGGCTATATACACATAGTAAAGTCAGTTTTACATGAGTCAAGGTTTCAGTTAAGCAAGTAAAGATGAATATAGAGACATCGAGAGAGTATATATTTACACCATTTTTATACATTAGCCATGAGCCTCTAAAAGTGAGTCAAACTCGGTTTCGTGTGTGTGTACAGTCGTTTCAAACATATATATTTATTAGTAAATTAAATTTAATTGCAAAATATCATTAAAATTTTACACAAATAAATTTACTGGCAATGCGCTTCTTTTAAATATCATCAAATATTATTTCTACAGACCTTACTGCAATGATATGAGTTATTGAATGAGAGGGCTTGGCTGTATTGGATTTGATCTTATTTCCTTGTGTTTCTAATGTATAATCCAAATTGTACCATTTCACCATCATGGTTATTTATATACTAGCGAACCCGGCCACGCGTTGCTGTGGCTAAATTGTAATATGTTAAATTAACATTATACTAAACTATTCAGTACAGTAAAGTTAATATTCACTTATAAAGATAAAAATGTTTTAGCCGATCTAAAGCCCTACGGGATTGAGAATGGAACGTTACGTTAAAATTTGAAAGTGATTTTTATATATATAGATAATATAGCCCTTCATTGTAAGCATTGATTATAATCACTGCATTAATAAATGTCAGTGAACTCGTTTATATGTATTGTTTTTTGTTTTCGAGATATTCTAATAGAACGTTCTCACATTTTCTGTAAAATATTTATATATGCACAAACACAGAATATAATCACTATGTCTTAATTTCGCTATAATTATTGTTATAAATATTATTCTAAAATAATTCGCCAGAAATCGTCCTGATAGTATACTAAACAACTTCCCAAAGTGTCATGGCAAACATCTAAAATAAAATAATACTTTTAATACTTTGCTACAATATTAAAAAGAGGGGGGCTTAGGTGTTTAAAATGTAAAATGTGCTCTAAATAGTATCACATAGAGCCTTCATAACAAACATATTTAAAATAAACCAATCAAAATATAATAATGCTGTAAAAACAGACCTTGCTACAATAATATAAAAGAAATGAAAATAAAAAAAGACACCCACGCTGAGCCTCGAACCTAGGTTTGTTACAAATATTATTAAAAAATTGTTTATGGTAATTTTTATTTTAAAAAGCCTACATTTTAAATAAAATAATATTTTTAATAATTTGCTACAATAATATAAAAGAAATGAAAAAAAAAAAAACACCCACGCTGAGCCTCGAACCTAGGTTGCGGGGGTACGAAGCTGTGTACCTAACCTATAGGCTAAGTTTGACGTTACAAATAAGCTCATGCGAGGCTATTTCAGGCCATACGTCTACCGCGAGGGGGCGCTGATTGCGAGTGAATTTACGTTTTATTGTAAATAAAAATGCAACGAAAGGTTATTTCTAAAGAGTAATTAGCCAGAAACCATCCCGGTAGTATACTAAACATCTTCCCAAAGTTTCATCACGATTGGTTGAGCGATGCAGAAGATTATCACTGACGAACGGACGGACAGACGGATGGACCAACGCAGACCAACAAACATCCATTTTTATATATATAGATAGGCAACAAAATGCTAGTAAAATGTCTTTATTGTATTGCAAGCTTTTGAATGCTTTTTTAAAGATATGTAATGAACTGGATAGCAACAAGAAACAAAAGGTTTAAAAACCATCCGATATGCAAAGTTGAAATAGGAAAAAAGAAAATTAATCAGAATGATAAGTGTGACAAAAGTTTACTTTAAATTTTTTAAATTTACTTTTTTTTTAAAATCCATAGCCATATTCATGTAAAATGTAGCTGTACATGTGTAAGAAGTGTAGTGATGACCAATAATTGAGGATTAAAAAAGTGAGCAGCCATCATTATTGCTCTGCGCGCTGTAATGAGCCCCAAAGAGATAGTGACTGTCCAAAAGTTACCCAAAACCACTGTTCATCGTGTCAAGAATCAGTTTGATGAGGCCGACAGTAACAAAGAAGGAATGGCTGCCAGAAAGAAGCATTTGTGGCAATCGGACAGGGTAAGAGACCAAGAATTTGTCAAAAATATCAAAAAGAATATTCATGGAAACCCTGGGAAGAGCATGAGGGCCATAGCCAAGGAAATGGATGCTGGCTCTATGACAATTATCAGAACTATCCATGAGAACCTTGGTCTCAAGTCCTATACCTTTCGTAAAGACCAGTTGTTTAATATGAAGGATAATAGAAAAGGAAAGGCTACTGCAGGCTACAACAACCTGAAACATGACTCCTGTGGTATGCTGAGGTTCTTCTCTGATGAAAATATCTTCATTTTATAAATCTTTGTCATGGTACTCTTTATATATATATATATATATAAATACAGTTAAACCTGTCTATACCGCCCCCTCTAAATAGCGCCTTCCTCTCTAGAGCACCCAATTTTAAATACATAGTACGATGCGATTTACATTAAAAGTGACCAGTCTATAGCACCCTATTTTGATGAGTCCCAAGAGGGGGAACTATAGACTGGTTTAACTGTATATATACATGCATATTGACGGCTATCTTGTAGACAGTAAACTTTTGTCACACTTATCATTCTGATAAATTTTATTTTTTTCCTATTTCAACTTTGCATATTGGATGATTTTTAAACCTTTTGTTTCTTGTTGCTATCCAGTTCATTACATATCTTTAAAAAAGCATTCAAAAGCTTGCAATACTATAGAGACATTTTACTAGCATTTTGTTGCCTATATATAAATAACCATGATGGTGATATGGTACAATTTGGATTATACATTATAAACACAAGGAAATAAGATCAAATCCAAATAAATAGTGTGTGACATTTCTGTAACAACATTGTTACCTGTTGGGAAAAGAATGTTATTTTTCTTATAGATTTATATTTTTTTAAATATATGTAAATTTAATCCATTATAAGAAACATATTTGCCATATGTAAATATTTATATGTATATATATTCGAGACAAAAAATAAAGTAGTTGACTGGTTAGAGTCGTGTGGTTTCTCGGCCCGCTCTCGAGAGGTCTACGCCTTGGTTGATACCTGCCTTAGACACTTCCGCGGATTTGACTTCTTGGGAATCGCTCTTCTCTACCTTTGAGATTCCACGGATTTTTTCCTCCTCGGGACCAGAATAAGAGACTTCGGGCGTCTGGGCAAAATAGAGCCTGGGCGCTGCGCCGCTGAACGCGACATTTGGCATCCCAGCCGGGACGCGAGGAGAAAGCCGTGCCTATATTTGGAACCCTTTTGGATCAGAAGATGGAGAGAGAAGAAGCGCTAGAGAGACTCAAGAAGAAGAGAACCATACTCCGCACGTCTTTATCCAAGTACGGGAAAAGAATAGAGGAATATGACGTGCACAAGGAGTGTGACCACGAGGAACTGCTGGGGCAGCTTTCGGATGTCTACGAAGAACTGAGGCGGGTAGACGAAGAAATCGGTAAGCTGATTGACATCAAAGATCTAGAGAAAGATCTAAAGATGGTAGAGGAATACCGGGAAAAGGCCGTGGCGTGGAAATATTTGTTAAAGAAAAGAAGTCTGGTGGTAGCGGAAGGAATGCAGAGGGAAACTGCAACTGCCACGAAGAAGGAATATCCAGGAGAAATCGGTCGACCGACTCTAACTGGGATGGTTAAGTTACCCAAATTGACAATGGAAAGATTCTACGGGGAAATTAGCCAGTGGTTAAATTTTTGGAATGCCTTCGATTCATCAATCAATAGGAATGAACACTTGACCAAGATAGATAAATTTAACTATCTTAAAGCCTACTTGGGTGGAACGGCGGCCCAAACTGTGGAAGGATTTTGCCTATCTGAGGAAAATTACGATAAGGCCGTTGAATTGTTGAAGAAACGCTTCGGAAAAGGGGAAAGGTTGATCGACGTGCATATGAACAACCTCTTGGCCTTGAAACCACTTAGAGTGACAAAGGACGTGAGGGCTTTCAGAGAATTGTACGGCAGAATCCTGGTGCAGATTAGAAGTTTGGAGTCATTGGGTGTTGTCGTTGAAAGCTACGGTAACTTATTGTGCCCTTTACTCCTCAAGCTATTGCCATCAGACTTAAAGCTTGAATTACACCGGGAATTCACAGGAGCTTTTTCTCTTGGAGATTTGATTGAATTTTTGGAGAGACAATTGATTGCATTAGAAAGCACGTTCGGTACGCGGGACGAAATAACAGCCGGCCAACCATCAAATGAGCACCCTCAGTCACAAAGCTCTATCGTGAAGTATCGAAGAAATGAGAGGAATCCCCTGCCCACGGCTGCTGGTTTTTTGAATGCCTCTGAAGCAGTGAATAAGAGGAAGAATTGCGCCTTTTGTGAAAGAGATCATGAAAGTACAAAGTGCGAATTCGCAGAAAATTTGACATTGGAAGATAAATTGGGAAAATTAAAGAAGAAAGGGGCTTGTTTCAGATGCCTGAAATATAGTCATTTGAGCAAATTCTGCAAAGTTAAGACAAGTTGCACCAGCTGTGGGGAATTGAGACATTCAAGGATTATGTGCCCCAGGAAGAACCAAAATGCTACTCCAGCCCGAGGGATGATGAGGGATGAGACTTTGACCAATCTGACGACGCCTGTGG